GTACTGAAATATGGTCAATGCAATAGAGTCTGACTGAACTGTGGGAGCTACTAATAACCGACATAAAACCACATGAGCTAAATGTGGAGTCCGATGTATACGCCCCATCGAGAGGACCCAATATACCCTGCCAGAGGTATAGAGGCATGCTGGCGTGATCACTAAACTGATGTTGCCCACAGAGGGGACTTACACCTACGTGGCTCGTAGTTCTGGGACTATATGGGTACGCTGAAACCCTAGTCCAACTCGGTATTATGCTACTCCCAATGAATTAAGTAGTTAACTGGTTATGACTAAATTTCTGTAAATACTGGATAGCTCGAACTGAACATGCAAACTGAGAATGCAACAATTAATCTGATAATGATGCATTAATAACTGAGGCATGTATAACTGAATAACTGAGATATCTGACCTAACATGTGTAATTCAAGAACTAAAGAAATACATAGCTAGGGTTCTGAAATTCATGCAACAAACTGAGAAATAACATGATAATCTGATTTGGAACATGTTAATAACAAATTCATGATGATCTGCTGTAATTCTAGAAACCCTAGGTCTGTTCATAATCATGGAATCAAGAATCTGACTGAATTCTAGGGACCTAATGGGCGAAAGGAACCCACTAGTGAAATCCCACATACCTGGTGACGAATTCCACGGAGAAATCTTTCGATTTCAGGGTTAGAACTGAAGGAAACTTGCTGCGTTCTTGAACTAGGGTTCTTGACCTTTTTCTCCTCTCTTGATTCTAATTTTCTAAGATTTTGATTAATGAATTGACTTGGATAAGTTCTAGTTATGTTTCTAGGCTTAAACTGATTAAAACCTCATGATTTAGGGTCAAAACGACGTATCTTACGGGTTAAACGAAATAGGAAAAGACCAAAAGACCCCTGAATTAACTGCTGTCGAAGTGACCTACGGATTGGACCTACGGTCCGTAGGTCAATCTACGGTCCGTAGATTGTGTCCGTAAGTCAAGTCTGCCCGACAGGGCTTCACTAAAACGAGCATAACTTTTTACTCGGAGGTCGGAATTTAGCAAACTCAGTGGCGTTGGAAAGATAATTCAATTATCTATCATACCATAGGTCATGGAACACACAATTCCTTTTGTGCTAAAAGTTTTGACCATCTGAAGTTGACCAATCAATAATCTTCATCTAACTGACTGTTGACCCTCATCTACGGTCAGACCTACGGACCGTGGATCGATTGACGATTCGTGCTGGTCAACCGTCAATCGGGACTGAAGCTGGGCTTTTGGGGCATCGATCCACGGACACGAACTATGGTCCCGTGACCTGACCTACGGACTGTAAGTCCGGCCGTTGGGTCAACACTTAGCCAAATTTTCTGATTGAGTCTGGGAGGGTTGCAGTGGTGAACCACGGACCACCAGCACGGGCCGTGGTCTGACCTACGGTCCGTGGATGGTGACCGTAAGTTGCACCTGCAACTTCTCGAAATCTGTATTTTTGGTCTGTTTCGAATACGGGGTGTTAAATTTAGTATGATATTCTATATGGTCGACTAACTACAAATTGCACTATATTCCCTTTTTTTAAAAAAAAAAATCAAATATATTAGTTTAAAACTTAAGGATAAAAGAAATAAAAAAATTAATAATCAAGACCAAAAAAGCGGAAAAATAAAATTATTAGGAGTATTTTTAAAGTTATTAGGAATCTAAAATATGTTAAGAATATATATATATAATTGAATGTAAGCAATCCTATGTGACACCTCTCTATGACCAGTATTCCTATTTATTTATTTATTTCTCATTCTTTTGAACTTTTTTCCTATTTCTTCAATTAATTGAATAAGATAAAGAAACCAATATGTTAAATATAATAGTTACAGTTATGTCATATTTAATACCCATAGGTGTAGCACATAAATATTACAAATTAAAAGGGAAATAAATAGTTGTTGATAACCTATATGAGAGAATGACAACAATTTTCTTTCTATTTCTTCTATTAGTTGAATAAGATAAAGAAAAAATATGTTCAATATATTAGTGGCAATTATGTCATTTTTAATACTCATAAATGTAGCACATCTATATTATAAATTAAAAGGAAAATAAATAATTGTGAATTGCCTATATGAGAGAATGACAACAGTTTTCTCTAATATTTAAAATAGGGTAGATAATCACAAATTATTTTTAAAAATATGGTAAAAGGTATTCACCAACTGATATTGATGTGTTCATTATTGACGGAGTAGTAGAAAAAATCATAGTTTTGATTAGCTCCTTTCTCAATATTTCATTTCTTTTTATGATTGTCTTTCAAACATCTTCTTTGTTTTAATTGTTTTTCTTCCTTTCTTTACTTTTTAACTTTTCAGGAACATCAAACAAGTTTCATTGAACATGCACATATTAAACAGAAAAAAATTCAATAACATACCAAATAAAAAAAAGAAAAATCATGAAAGGGAGAAGGATAACAAGTACCGAAAAAAGAAAAACATAAACAACAAAGCTCATTGGAAGCAAGTTTAGAGATTAAGAGAAAAGATCTCAGAATGGATAAAATTTTGTCGACTTTAGCGTAAAATAATAGTCAAATCATTGACGGTAAGCATTAGATATCAAAAAATTGAAATTAATTTTATGCAAGAGTTAATCTAATATCCTGTTTAGTATGATATTCTATAAGGTCGACTAACTACAAATTGCGCCATATTCTTTTTTTTTTTTTTTTAAAAATCAAATATATTACTAATAACTGAGCATATAATTATGTATTTAAAACTTAAGGATAAAAGAAATAAAAAATTAATAATCAAGACCAAGAAAGCGCAAAAAATAAAATTATTAGGAATATTTTTAAAGTTATTAGGGATCTAAAATATGTTAAGAATCTTACATTTCAAAATCATTGTACAATTAAAAATATATATACATATAAAAATAATTCTCAAAATTATTTATATTTAGCCTACAAAATAATAAAAAAATTAAGTATTAAAAATCAACAAAAATAGACACCTTAACTTTGTCACTTCTGATAGAATATAGTTTATTTATGAAAAGAGAAAGAGCGAATATCTCATCATTATTCAAGATATTGATATAAGAAGAAAAGTCATGTAATAATGTTTGTCTTCAAAAATAATATTTTTTTGAAGGATGTTGCACAATAATGCCTCAAACTAACATTAGCCATTTGCCATCTGTGGGATCAGAACGCACCCCACTTCTCATGGAAATGACAATGAATGATTATCAAGGTATTAAGTATTTCAAATTCCTGCATTGTTGGGTTGATAATGACAGCTTCATGGACACTGTGACATCTTGCTGGAATAAAGAAGTGCATGGCAACCCTATGTGGAGATGGCACCAAAAAATGAAAAGGTTAACTACCACTCTTAGTGCCTGGTCTAAAAGGGAATTTGGAGACATTTACTCCAAGGTAAAAGAATTTGAAGAAAAGGTCAAAGTAGCAGAAGAGGAGCTGATTAACAATAACACTGGAACAAACAGACATAATCTTCATTACATCAATGCTACCTACATCAAGTATTTGAAAATAGAAGAAGCAATTCTCAAGCAGAAAACTCAGCTTCAGTGGTTCAAAGAGGGATGTGCTAACACTAAATACTTTCATGCCCTTATTAGAGGAAGAAGGAGAAGATTATTCATTCACAAGATTGGTAACAGTGCAGATGAATGGGTTCAAGGGGACAGTAACATTGCAACTGTAGCCTGTGAACACTTCCAGAAAATCTTCACAGGCCATGAAACCAGAATTGATGAAAGAATTCTCCAACATCTTCTTACACTGGTGACACCTAAACAAAATCTGATCTTACAGGAGATACCCAATATGGAGGAATTGAAACAAGTTGTTTTTTCCATGAACCCCAATTCTGCTCTTGGTCCTGATGGTATGGGGGGGGGAAATTCTATCAGACTTGTTGGGAGGTCATTAAAGAGGACTTACTTGCTGGGGTAGAGTCTTTCTTCAATGGTCAAACTATGCCCAAGTTCATGTCACATGCCTGCCTGGTCTTGCTTCCTAAAGTTGCTCAGCCTAATAATTTTTCTGAACTTAGACCTATCAATTTGAGCAATTTCACCAACAAAATCATTTCCAAGATCCTAAGTGTAAGACTGGCTCCCATCCTTTCATCCAGGGTTTGTTAGAAGAAAGAATATAGCTGAGAATATTATTTTGGTACAAGAAATCACTTATGGTATCAAAAAACCTAAAGAATGAGACAATGTGATTATCAAGCTTGACATGACCAAAAGCCTATGATAGAGTCTCTTGGGCTTACACTTGTTTAGTTCTAAGGAAAATGGGATTTGGAGATGTGTTCATTGACATGGTTTGGAGAATCATGAGCAACAATTGGTACTCTATTATCATTAATGGAAGAAGACATAGATTTTTTCATTCCACTAGAGGTCTCAAGCAAGGGGACCCTCTTTCCCCTTCCCTATTTATTTTAGGTGCTGAAGTCCTCTCTAGAATGTTGAATCTGTTAAACTATAATATGTCCTATAAAGGTTTCATGATGGACCCCAAAGGCCCTAGAATTAATCATCTCAGCTTTGCAGATGATGTGATTATTTTCACCTCTAGCAACGAGCATTCTATTAAGCTCATCATGGACACCTTGACTGTATATGAAGATACTTCTGACCAATTGATCAACAAAAGCAAGAGTCAATTCATGGTTCTTGCTAACACTCCTCAGAACACTATCAGATGATCAAAGATTGTACAAGTTTTAGTCAAAAGGACAGTCCTATCACTTATCTAGGTTGTCCTTTATATATTGGGAGACAGAATTATTTACTATTCCCAACTTGTGGACAAAGTGGCTAAAAGGATAAGTGGATGGCAGACAAGATTCCTTAGCTTTGGAGGAAGGGTGACTCTTATCAAACATGTTCTTCAATCCATCCCCATTCATACCATAGCAACAACTTCACTTCCCAACACCACCATCAAGTACATGAAATGCATAATTGCAGATTTTTTCTGGGGAAAGGAAGGAGACAAAAAGAGTATCATTGGGCATCTTGGGAATCTCTGAGTTTTCCTTGTGAGGAGGGAGGTATTGGTGTGAGAATGTTGTCTGATATTTGTACTTTTTTACAATGCAAACATTGGTGGTTATTCAGGACCAAAGAGTCTCTTTGGGGACAGTTCCTTAGAGCTAAATACTGCAAGGTATCACATCCAGCTGCAAGGAAATGGGACAATAGGCAATCTCTTGTGTGGAAATATATGCTAAAAAATAGGAGCATGATAGAAAAGAACATCAGGTGGAAGATCAATTCTGGCAACTGTTCCTTTTGGTGGGATGATTGGCTTGGAATTGGAGCTCTTGGTAATCTCATAAATGGAATTTCTAGTCAAAACAATACCAAAGTGCACCACTTCTTGCTTGAAGGAAAATGGAATGAATTTAAGCTCAGACAACAGGTTCCTCCTAGATTAGTAACACAGATCCTGAGGATGGACATCCAGTTCCAAGCAGCGGTCAAGAATGAGGCCATTTGGACACATAGAGAGGATGGAAATTTTTCCTGCTCCTCTGCCTGGGAAATCTGCAGGGCAAAAAAACAAAAATCCAAGATCAACACCCACATTTGGCATATATACATTCCTTTCAAGATCTCTTTTTTGATGTGGAGAGCTCTTAGATTCAAATTGCCTACCAATGACAAGATCATCAACTTTGGTGTGGAACCTGCGAAGTGTTGCTGCTGCATCAGACAGGGATGGGACGATATTAATCATATCTTCTCAGCAGGTTACTTCGCCACTCACATCTGGAAATTTTTCTCAGGACTGTTTGGAGTTGACTACCAATACACACCTCTGAAAAATCACTTACCAAAAGTGGTGGAGTCTCACTCCTAGAAATGAGGTCCACAAACTCATAATTCAAGTTGTCCCTTTACTGGTCTCCTGGACTTGTGGAAGAACAGATGCAGAGCCAAATATGAAAGGAAGAAATCCAGCATTTCAAGAGTCCAATTCATGATCTTCAAAGACACCAACCTTCTACTTCAAACAACTTATCTATATATACAATGGCCTATGAACTGGAAGGATGTTATGAGGATAATTGAGAAGTGCAGGCATGATATTAAAGTAAATCCAGTCACTTGGGAAAAACACTCCCAACATTTTCAAATTGAATACAGATGGAAGGGCATTAATCAATCCGGGAAGAATTGACGGAGGGGGCATTATTAGAGATGACTCAGGAAACATGGTATATGCATTCTCTATCCCTCTTGGCATTGGAACCAACAACTTAGCACAAATACAAGTTGTTGTTTATGGTATTCAGTGGGGTCTAAGAATGGTTATAACAGGCTAGTCCTAGAGGTAGATTCTGAATTGGTTACAACATGGATCACCACCAATAACAAGTCTCCTTGGAAGCTGATGCAGGCAATGTCTGATCTTCAAAACCTCACCAGACAGTGTGAATTTTTTCAGTGCAGACACATCTACAGAGAAGCCAACTGTACAGCTGACTTCCTTGCTAAATGGAGCCACAAATTCAGCAGAAACCAGCACTTCTACACCAGCCAGCAACTTCCTCCAGCAGCAAAAGGAAGTTACGTTTTGGAAAAAATGGGGATGACCAATTTCAGAAGGAAGAAGCTCAAGAGAATCAAGCATCCACCTTGATACTACCTCATTACGACATATATAGAAAGTTCTATAATTTTGGTACCCTACCCTTTTCATTTTGGCTATGGTTAATTTTAATTATAGCTATAGTGAATAGGCGTAGGTTTTTTATTCTCCTTGTAAGGGGAGAGTCTCCCTTATTTAAATTTCATAGTTGATATGCAAAGAGATGGGTCCTCTCTTAGGTGTCTTCTTTGATTTTCCCTTAGACTATGGGGATGAGCTGGTTAACCTTAGTAGGATAACTTACTCAAAACCACCTTAGGTGGAGGTAAGGTTTATGCCTCCCTCTTTGTACTTTTATTTTTATTTATGATAAGGCCTGGGGGTGTTTGCTAAGCCCCTGACCCCCCCAAGGGTCGTTAAAAAAAAAAAAACAAGAAAATTTTTATTGAGAAAAAAAGAATTCATTATGATTGAAAAACTTATAGAAAAAATAATGAGTGATAAGAAGAATTATTTAGAGAAAAAATCAATTTATTTATTAAATTTCATATTAAATTCGGAGGAGAATAAGGAGAAATTTATATTTTGAATTACAATTGAAAGGATCCTAAATTAGTGCTCACATTATTTCTTTCCATTCTTTATTCTTCTAATCTCGTTCTTTTTAAAAAAGAATTATTTAATTTTTTCCGTTTTTGTCCTTATGTACCACCTTTAATTAATGTTTGTTTTATTTTTTTTATTTATCTTTAATTATACTTTAATTTGTTGACATTTTTTAAATTTTAAAAGACTAAAAGTCTCACTTTAAAATTTTACAAAAACATCAAAGGTAACCATATTTAATTTTGTTCATCAACAATCATATTAATTTTATTACTTCCTTACCTTAATCTGATAATTAATGTCATTTATATCATTTTCTTATTTTTCTTTTAAATTACTTTCTTTTATTTTTTTATTACAAGGAATTAGTTATTATAATTTTGTAAAATATATATTAATATTTCTTAATGTAATTTTATTTTATTTTTTATAAAAAAATTAGATCATCTTTTCTGCTAAAGATCTATACGATTATACCCATATCAAATAATGAAGTTAAAAATAGAAAATGATGACACTCTTCTTAATTCAAATATTATTTAATTTTATCAAAAAAGTTTTTACGTTTTCTCTTATATTTTTTTAAAAAAATAATTGCTCAAAAATTTGTCTATTTTGCATTTTTCCAAATTTTAAATCATTTCACCATTAGTGCTATTAATTTTTTCCCCTTAATCTCATCATTAGTGTTATTTATATCATTTCTACTTAATTTGATAAAAAAGTTCATTTTAATATGAAGTCAACTTAATATGAAGATATTATTTCTTTTCTTAATGATTTTATTTAAGAGGAAACACAAATCTCGACTCTAATCAAAATAGAATTTGCCTTTTTATTTCTACTTAATTTGATAAAAAAGTTCATTTTAATATGAAGTCAACTTAATATGAAGATATTATTTCTTTTCTTAATGATTTTATTTAAGAGGAAACACAAATCTCGACTCTAATCAAAATAGAATTTGCCTTTTTATTTCTACTTAATTTGATAAAAAAGTTCATTTTAAATTAGACAAGTTTCCTAGTCAGTTAATAAAAGCTAAATATTTTTAAAAGCTCGACAATTCTTTACTAGTAAGCAATCTTCACTTAAAAATTAAAAATAAACAGGTGTAAAAATAATCCTTTAGTTTTGAGACAAAATGAGTCTCTTTTACCTAAAAAAATAAAATATAAAATTTGTGCCCCCAGGTTTGATGTAGTTGGATTTGGCATAATTCGTTGTCCCAATCCTTTTGAGTTAAGGAGAAAGGGAATGGCGAGCCACCTTCCAATTTCAACTCTTTCCCTATCGACTCATGTCTCTCAATTGACGTTCCCAAAAACGAAGCTGAATCTACGTCCAAGATCTTCAATGAGATGTGCAGTTTCGGTTGCCTCTGAGCCAATTCTAACCAACAATGGCAAACCATTCCCAGCTGAGGTATCGAGAACAATTCTGGAATTATCTTCAGTTGGCACTTTATCCACCCCGACCCAAGATGGTTGGCCTTTAGGTATTGGTGTACGTTTCGCTGTTGACCCTCATGGCACTCCAGTACTCTTTCTCAATCACTCAACTTCCAATTTCGCTCTCAATTCCAAGTCTAGCTTCCTTGTTCAGGTCACCTCTCTCTCTCTTTTTGTGCTTTTTCCCATATCTCTATTTCATCTAACCCACTTGCTATATCAGTTACAACAATATGGGTTGCGGACTCCACAGTGCACCATACAGGGGACGCTACAAAAACCACAAGATACCACAGCTTTGAAGGTCAGATAAGGATTATCCAATTTACACCTCCCCTTTTTCCTTCACTGCTCCACCAAGGTTAAACTCAACACTACTTTTCAAATTAATTTGGATCTCAATACTTACATAGAGGGAGTGATAAGCACGCACTAGAGTTTTAATTTCCAGTATACGTGATGAAATGTAGGATTTTGGCGGTGAAAGAGGGTACCACCTATTCATTCGACCCTTCTCTTCTTCAGTGCTTTGCTAGTGTAGGAAAAAGTATTGTCATTTAGAAAGAAATAAATACACAATCACATATTCATGATATGATCTGATAAATTTATCTCCGGGCATGGTATTCACTATTTTTCAACGAATTGTGTGCAGTTGACAGTAGTAATTAGTGCACTTCTTTTTTGTCCAATTTTAACAATGTCATATGTTATAAGCTGGTGCTTCGTTAGTGATGAATTTTATCAAGTTTCCTTCTTCCATGATAATCTGAACTTTCCATTGATGACACTAAAGTTTCTTCTTTTAGAAGCTTCATTCAGTTTGGGAAAAAAAATTTGGGCATGAAGTAGATGAGGATCGCTTATTTTTGCTTTCTGTGGAACGGGTACTTCAGATTGAAGATTTTGCAGAGGTTTGTAGTCTATTTTCTATGAAGAATGCTTTATCTCGTTGATTTCCATTGGCCACTTACAGCTTTGTTTTGTCTTCTTCAGTAGGGATTGTTTTACCTTATTTTATCTCCATATTGAAAGCAAGTTTGGTTAGTGTATATATGTTATAAAAAATAATCATCTTGTATTAGTATCCCTACTTATCATTTGAACAGAACAAGTTAGTTAAAGTCAATTATCTAAGAGCATGTATTTAAATATGAGAGAAAAAATTTACATTATCCATACCAAGCAGTCATTCAAGTTTATTTTTTTGCCCTGAATAGTAGTTCATGCTGATTACTGATTGTGCAGTTACATTAATGATAATTATACGAGATATACTTTCAGGATGGAATTTGGGTCACTTCATCAGACTATAAGTCAGCGAACCCTGATCCTCTTCGAGACTTTGCAGAAAGAATGATTGACGAGATAAATACTAACAATAGGGAAGACATCTTACGGTTTTGCAACATCTATGTAGATTTGGATTTCCAGGTATGTAATGAACCCAACATTATGACTTTCTCTTACTCCCAATTTAGTTTAAAATTTTCACTTTTGTTCTGTTTTTAGTATAATAGGTCTAAGTGAAAAAAAAAATAATTCTGCTTCAAGGAGGGTAGTGGGACCAACCCATTATCCATCAAATTTGAGATTGGAAACAACAAATTATAGGACCAAATTCTGTTGAATCGAGCAGAAAGATATTTATCATTGTCCACCTTAGAAAAGTAGACAATGTTTGGAATAACTGAGAAAGTAAAGCAGGACAGCATTTTTGGGACAGTGGAATATTAATAAACCCATGATCCAGAAAATAATTTTAGGGTAAGAGCATATAGACCATCGTTGAACTGTAAATAAATAATGATCAGAGTTCCAAGAGTGATATATATATACAGAGAACTTTTGGTAAATCTAATCACTGGTCATACATGATCAAACTTCTCAGAGCTTAGGCTTTGGGTTATGAAATAGGATTAGCAGTGGCATCATGATGGCCCTAGGTTCACATTAGCAGTTGATAATGTGCCTTTTTACCTGGCTCAAGAGTTCTGTTTGATCGTTGTCTCACTCTCTTTTCTAGTTTGATAGGTACAATTTGGTCATTTTCTCCATGTTCCATTTTCACCAAATAAAAGCTGTCTTAAGTTTAGATTGACATGCAATGTTATCCATTACCTAGTAGTCTGGTAGAATGCTTAATTGTTTACATATTTGATATGTGCTCCGGGTCAGGGAAGCAAGCTAAGATGGTTTGGGCATGTGAAGAAGAGGTGGGCGGATGTGCCAGTAAGGAGGTGTGAGAAGTTGGTTGTAGCAGGAGTTAAGTGAGGTAGAGGTAGGCTGAAGAAGAATTGGGGGAGGTGATTAGATAAGATATGACACAACTTCAGGTTTTTGAGTGTTGTTGCCTTTTGATGGGAAAGGCAGGAGGCTAGCCCTATCTCCCCGCAGCCTTAACAGTAGTAGTTTTTAGTAATGGGTAGTTTTTTTATTCTTCAAGGTGTTTTACTATGTGTTGCTTCATTTTCTTTGTATCTTAATATTTTCTTGCAACCATGGTCGAACATCTTCTCTTTTGAGCAGAGGGTCTATCTGAAACATCCTCTCTAACCCCACAAAGGTAGATGTAAGATCTGCGTATATCTGACCCTCCCTAGACCCACCCCACTTGTGGGACTACACTGAGCATGTTGTTGTTGTTTTGCTCCAGGTCAAGGAATGTAATGCTTTCCTAGTCTGTTGTGTACTCTAAAGAAGTATGTTACGATTTTGAACTGGTTTTTCTTTTCTTTTCTTGCAGGTTTGCGATGGCAAGATGCTTTGGGTTGATAGATTAGGTTTTGATGTCCGGTTCAGGTCTCCTCTGAATGATGTGTTTGAAGCTCGTATCCCTTTTCCGAGAGAAGTTACAGATGAGAAGGGTGCAAAATCATCATTCAACTGCATGTCTCAATTTGCTTGGGAAGTAGAAAAGAATTTCCATGCTGCAGATTTTGAAAAGGTGAAACAAGTGAAAAAGATGGAGCACAGAGGACTGTGAAGAATCATATTTATCCTGATGGTTGTGCAATTATCAATTGCATGTATTATTTTTCATTAGGGTAGGTGAGCGAGAATGTAAATGTGGTGGAAGAAGGAAGGAACATGTTACTCCTGTGGCTAATGATGTTGTTTAAGACTCCACAAAAGCTTAGTTGGCAACTCTCTCTAGAGTTGTGTTGGAAAAAAAAGGTTGGTAGACATTTTTCTATTTAGTTTCCACTCTTTTATGCAGTAGCATGGAAAATCAAAAGAGACTATGGGCTTATTTCTCTTTGTTTTTGTACGTCAATTATGGATGACAAGTAAAAAGAAACGCTACAGATTTCCTTTGTTTTAGAGAGAGCCTAAAAAGAAAAAATAAGTCTCGTTGTTGTACGTACTATAAAGGGGAAACCAAGAAAATGGTGTATGCTGTTTTGGAAAATTAGTTTTGCCTTTTCTAACTAAAATCCATAAGAGTAGTTGTAGTAGCTCAACTACCAATTTTAATTGGAACACCTTCCTTTAATTCCGGATGACCAGAATCAAGATTATTAATGTCCTAATAATAGATTAATTGTTTTTGTACTCTATACACTAAATCAAGGACAAAGCCATCAATCAAATTAGGAGGTTAGTCATTGAGACAAAAAGAGCCAAATGACATCACTTGCTTGTACAAGTGAGGAAATCAATAGTCTTAGTGGACTTTTTTGGTAACCAAAGTTATTTTATGGATATGGATTGGATATCTCATTATCCCACCATATATGATACTCCCTTCGTTTCACAAAGAATAACCTCCTTTCCTTTTTAGTCAGTTTCAAAAAAATGACCTCTTTCCTTTTTTGGTAACATTTTACTTTTTGCTTTCCACGTGGCATGTTTAAGACCACAAGATTAAGGGCAATTTTGTACATTTGACATAATTTTAATTTAGGACCACAAGATTCAAAAGTCTTCTTTAATTTCTTAAACTTCGTGCCAAGTCAAACTAGACCAATCTTTTTGAAACGGAGGGAGTAACTTTTTTCAGATGAGATAAAATAATCTTGAGGTTATTGTCCCTTATTCATCCTATAAAAAACCAAACGACCCCTAATAGTAATTGGGTAAAATGAATACTCCCTTCGTTTATTTTAATTTGTCACAGAAAAGTTGAGTGTATAAAAGGAGGAAGAAAATATAGCATTTTTGTGATTTGAAATAGACCTTTATTTTAGCGCCTATGCTATTTGTTGTCGGCATTAATTCTACCTTCAACTTTATCTTTTTTGTTATTATAGGTTCAAAACGTGGCCCAGTTAATTAGAAAATGAAATATTTCCATACTTGTTTATACTTCAAATTTTGAAATTAAGAAAATATTTCCTTATAAACGACCAAATTGCTTTTTATTTTTTTTTGGAAAAAGAAGAGGTAGTTGAAAGGGTTACTAGAATGAATCCAAGTTTTGTTTGATTAATTAGAAATAGTTCAGAGAACATATTTTTAGTTGAGATCCACTGGCAGTCGTCCATTGGTTTGAATAAATAAATGAATTGACTTTCCTTTAATTACGCCATAATCTTCTCCTTTCTTATAGAGTATTAATTAATTACTGCCAAATTGCTTCACTCTCTTTTTACTACAGTTATCCATCACCCTCACTAAAGTCTTGTAGTATGATTTTATTGATACTCCCGAATATTCCAACGCCTTAAATTCTTAAATATCAAAATTATTTAACTACTTCTTCGATATTTAAAATTCACGGATCTACTTGATTACTAATTAAATTAAAATCCAGACACTCGATCTATTTCTAAAGTTTTAGTAATATGAAATGGAACACATCTCATCAAATACTATTGAAAGAGCAAGTTACAAGTACAAACTGTAACTGAATCAAAGCAATAATTGATGGAAGGAAAGATGAGTGAATTAGTCAATTATTACATCCAAACCAATTCATAATATAATAATAATAATAATAATAGTTTGTCGTGTTTCAATCTTTTCTATACTTGTGCCATTTAAAAAAAGCAATAATGATTTTTTAAATTTTAACTTTTCATATAACAATTATAAAATTAAATAACATTTTAATATATAATTTCAATTTAAGATCATAAAATTAAAAAAAAAAAATCTTTTATTTTCGTAAAACTTTATATCAAAATGAAACTATAGGATAAGTATAAGAAACTGGAGATGTAGAAAGTGGCAAGTTGAGTCAGGTAAGTCAGGAGAGTGTGAGGTGGGCTCATTTTTTCTCTCTGTCATTCGCTCATACCCACCCTCTACATGCACAATCTCACATTAATATTCTATTTATAAAACATTAGTAATTCAAAGTATAATTTTTAAAATTTAGGCAGATTATATTTTGTGTTAAACAATATACAAGATGTGAAATTTATTTTGTTGGTTCCCGTCCGTGATGTATTAGCTAGGGTATCATGTAGTATAGTTTTGGTAAATGAAGAATGTAAAATGTTTTTGTTAGGTTATAACATTACTCAAAGGCCAAAGTGTATTATTTATTAGGTGAAGTGAAGGAGAAAGTGTCGGTGGCAGGAGAGGAGAGGAGAGGAGAGGAGAGGAGACAGAGGCACCCGACACACTTTTAACTTACTCCAACACTAAACATTGCTCCTCTCTCTGGATCCTACCCAACTCACCTTTACCTTACACATATACTTACTATATAATTATAAAATAATACTATCGTAAAGTAAAATGTTAAAAGGAAAAAAAGAAAAATAAATATTAATGTAAACATTACACTTAGGAGTGCGGGTGTTTTGTTTTAGTTTCCTTCTATATATTTATATATTATTTGGAGTAATATCATATCTTGAGCAGAATCAGTATGGACGCGAGGCAAGTGTTGGCTGGAGTTCTTACTATCACTATGTTCGTTATGCTCGGAGATATGATCAAAAGGGACCACTTTGATGTAATCAATCCCCTTCTTCTTCATTCTCTGCAATTCTACTCTTGTTCAATTCTATTTGTATTTACAGATCTATCTATCTATCTATGAATGAATTTAGGTGGATTCTGAAGCATCAATTCATGCTACCAGAAAGCAAAGTCTACTTACCAATGGAGCTGGACCTTGGAAACAGGATGCCCAATCCCTAACCTCCTGTTGGTCTAAACCACTTATCGGTGAGAGATCTATCACTTATATATTCACGCTCCACTAGGCACTAGTAGAGTATTATTACTTTTTTAATAATCTTTGTAACAGGGGAAGCTCATGAATCACAAGGATATGTTACCTTCTCCCTCACTAATGGTCCTGAATATCACCTCTCTCAGGTAGTATTTATTTATTTATTTCAGCTTCAACCATAAATTAATTCCTCCACTTACTTATATTTACTTTCAACTTTTAGATTGCTGATGCCGTCGTAATAGCTAGATATCTGCGAGCAACTCTCCTACTCCCCGACATAAGAGGAGGAACTGAACAAAGGTCAGTTCGAGTGGAGTTGAGTTTAGAATACTCTTCCTTCTCAAATTGTTTCAAATTCACACTATTTGACATGTTTACAGGAAATTTGAACATGTCTATGATGTTGAGCAGTTTGTGAAAAAACTTGATGGGGTGGTAAAAGTAGCAAAATCTCTCCCCTCTAAAGTCGTCACAGGACCAGTTGTGAAGGTTCCTAGCAGGGTTACTGAAGAATATATTACTGATAACATCGAGCCAATTTTCAGATCAAAGGGGAACATTAGGCTCGCCACGTATTTTCCCTCAGTAAACATGAAAAAAACGAAAGAGAACAGCAACATCGACTCAATTGCATGTTTGGGGATGTTTGGAACTCTAGAGCTTCAGCCTGAAGTTAATGGAGTAGTTGAATCTATGGTGGAGCGCTTAAAAACTCTGAGCAGGAAGTCAAACGGCCAGTTTATCGCAGTGGATCTAAGGGTTGATATGCTGGAGAAAAAGGGTTGCCAAGGAAACAGTGCTTCTAAATCGAAGAGTTGCTATGGTCCACAGGAGATAGCCATGTTTCTGAGAAAAATTGGTTTCAACAAAGATACAACTATATATCTTACTCAATCTAGGTGGGATAACAGCCTTGATGCATTAAAGGATCTCTTTCCTAGAACATACACCAAGGTAAAGTGAAACTTCCAAATATATACATATATATCTTGTGTTTAGTCTTGACTCTTCACTTTGAATTGCAATTGCAATTGCAGGAAAGCATAATGCCCATGGACAAAAAGGCGAGATTTCTTGATATGGAGAATTCTGAAGTGGAGAAAGTTATCGACTTCTACATGTGTTCTGAGAGTGATGTATTTGTACCAGCCATCTCAGGTCTCTTTTATGCGAATGTGGCCGGCAAGAGAATCGCCTCTGGGAAGACTCAAATACTAGTTCCTGCTCATATTTCTGGTTCCTCTGCTTCTTCAACAGACTACATATCTCATTACGTCTCAAAAAAGAACCACTTTGCCTATTCGTGCTTCTGCTAGCTATATACACTAGTAGTATTAAGATGCTCTCTCTCTCTCTCTAGTTTGTTTACACAAAACAACAAGTTTGCTTGTAGTGATGAATATTTAGATAGACCTTTCTGGGTGGGGTTCTTTTGTCCCTCTTCCCTTCAACCCCCAAACAATATCATTTGTTGGACTCGGAAATATGGTATTGTCATACAAATATAGTGATGGAAAGTATTGAGTTCCCATTATGCACTAAGCACGTATTTCATTTGTTTGAATCATAAATAAATCTTGAAGCCCGATGAAATCATATGGGATTGAAGCGTAATTATAATAATAGTATGTTAAATCAAAGTAGAAAAGATGCGGCCGCAACACACCTGTAATTTACACATGGTTCTGACGGGAATTATCAAATTTCAAATAATACTCCATAATTTACATCTTCCCACCAAAATTAATACACCTACCTACCTGTTCGGTGAAATGACACATCTCTCATACACTTTCCATGGACACACCTGTCATAACATATACAAATTACTACAAACAAGATTACTTACTAATATTATATTATTGGGGCTGTAAAAGAAATACAGTATATATACATATTTATTTATCATGCAACATACTTTTGAGGTTGCTTCCTAATGTCTATCTCAATCTTTTTTTGGGCTTCTCTTCCTAATCAGCATTCCTATGTTGTATAAACTATTCTACAACCTAGCTAGTGGGCACTATACATATCAACATACTCTAGGATTTCTTTCTTCCAATTCAGAACCAACAAAAACTAATCTCGTACGTATACTATATACACACACACACACATATATATATATACAACCAAGTAGATGGCAAAGAAACGAAAGCTGCATTCATTTATGCATTACGAGCTGCAATGCATCGCTGATATAACTTGATGAAGACCTTAGCCACAGGGGTCTTTGGAACTGGGATCAATTTTCCCGCAGCAGCAAGAGGCCAACTGTGACAATAAACAAAGATGTTGAGATGCAGATGAGATTATGGCTAGTCAACTCAACAAAAACCCTGTTGTACGATACCTGATAATACCAATGACAAGTGAAACAATCCATAATTTCCAACTCAGTCCAACTGTCGATGTAAATTTTCCAAGGAACTCAATGATAATGATCTGTTCAGTTGTATGGAAGAATGTGATAGTCAGTGACCACAAAAAGAAAGAATTCTAATCAGAATTTTATCCATGCTCAAACATCTTTCACCTGAAGTATGAAAGTAGTTCCCACAACCCCAGTAAAGAGGGGGTTTTTGGTCACGCCAGTAAAGACATTAATTTCATCGGGCTTTCGAGCATTAACCTCATTGAATATCTGTATTTCAATTTAAACTAGTTACATATCTGAGGCTTGATGTGTAATCTAGCCTTGAATAAGACAAGTGAACAAAGAACATTATCCGATAGAGAGAATAACCATTTAAAGAAATACACAGCATACACACTTCAATTTTTCTCAGACACACATTTCTTTCTCCTAATTTGCACCAAGATGAAAACACTTACTTGGCAGAAAACAAATGCATTGAAAATTAAGGTATTCTTCACCATATTAGCATGTTTTGGGTCATCATTCTCTAAGCTGAGAATGCTCTTGCCCTGGAAATTGAGAACAAGAAGGATTCCGATTTGGTAGAGAGCCTGCAGAAGAGAAAAATAATGAATTTGTTTATACAAAATGTGTGCTATTAAAATTTCTCTTTTTATGGTGAAAATAGCAAAGATAGAATGAAACAACAATATCCTATATCAGTAAGGCCACAGACCTGAATAAGCAAGTTCCTCCACATGATATTTGTCACCAGAGGTTCCCTAAGTTTCACAAATGATAACTGTCAAAGCATGTAAAAAGCCTGAAAGAATTCTAGAGACACGGTAAAATAAGCAAAACAACACTCCCCGGTTAATTTTTTTTTTTGAAGAAAATCAAGCGCATTGATAACTAGAAATTCACAATTCTAAAGAATCTCGAGTTTCCCATAGATCTGAATTATTTTTCTTCACAAGAATCATATACAGAGCCGTGAACTAGAAAACCAATGAAATATTAAGGAAGGTGCAAGCCAAGTTTATTTTAGATAAAGAATCTGTCCCATGATGAATTTTATTCCTGCAAGTGAGGAGTTCTGAGATTAAATAAACAACACAGAAGCTAACATCTTGACGCACCTTTTGGAAAGAAGTGGATAAAAAGTAGGTGCATATTTACACTAGGAGGGCCTCTCACAATTAGTTGAACCATCATACGTGGAAGATGCCTATGAAAGACTTTGAACATCACATTATGTAAAATGGAAAAAGATGCATCTAGCATAGCGGTAGTTTCTTCACAATAATATAGAACACTTCAAGCTTACATTCACAGAAATTATAATAGATGTTCTGATCATGCACCATTTAGACCTCAAACTAGCAGGCTCTGTGGCATAATTCATTTTATGACAACTGGAAATCATAAAAAAAAGTATTATCAAATATAAGGAGATAGCATGGCAAAATTCGAGTTGCTCACCTTCGACCAACAGGAGGTCTACGCATAAGATGGTCAGTTGGTGGTTCAGTAGCCAAAGCTAGTGCTCCCAGAGTATCCATAATGAGATTGACCCAAAGAAGCTGCAAAAAGAGTATCCTTGAGCAAAACGAAAAAAGAAGAAGACTTCCAGCAGGCTACAATATGCAAGTCCTCATTACCCACTAAATGATAAACACAGCACACGTATACACTATATATCATTCTCAAAAAATATATACATACATATACATATTTATACCTATGAAATTACAATTTATATATGCACTCCTGCATCTGTCTAGGTCAGAAGATAGATAGATAGATAGAGAGATAGAGAGAGGACCTGCACTGTATTTAGAGGAACATCACCAGAAGAAACTGCTGCCACAACATTGATTACAAGAGCTGCGACATTAACAGTGAGCTGGAACTGAATGAATTTCTGAATATTTGCATAAACAGAACGACCCCAGCGTACAACCTACATTGAGATAGATTAAGTCAAGGACCACGGCTTTTCATTATGCTAGTACAATAAGCCACCGCAAACTAAAACCAGCTGATACAACACAGACATGGATTAAAAAGACACATCATCTACTTCCTCAGTGTTTGGCTGCTTTTTCCAAGTTGTTAAATAAATGTGGCTGTAAGGATGGGGTGCCAGTCCAAGAAGAATAATATCCACTAGGAAATTTGATGATGAGAAGGCAAAGGGATGCAATAATAAGATAAACAAGAAGCTTGCACTGCTTGTTTCTTGTAATCTGACTCCTCTTTTTTACCCTTGCGCTCCCTTTGTCGCTACATAGTCTAACAAAATATCTGCAGATCTTTGATTTTCATGTTGACTTCCAAAATTTGATAAGCTCGTGTTACATGTGTTTGCAAATCAATGCAAGTTTAGAGTATATTCTAATACCTACTGGTTAAAAGTGCTCAACATCTACATGGTTGATGCAAAATAAAAAATTATGATCTCAGAATAAGTGGTCAAATTTTTAGAAGCATTATCCGTTAGTCCAAGTCACCTTCACAAATTCAGCCAAATTACCTTTCAAGATCAAAATAAAAAATACAGAACATGAATACATGTCTGAGTTTTCATGTGCTTTCGACCTTCAAAACCCACTCTTCATAGTTCAAATAAATGTTCTCATCATATTTGTGAAGTTCTGATAAATATGCTTATATTAACAGTGAAAAGACTTAAAAAGCATTCACAACATCACATGTAGTTGAGGTGTAATGAAAGTTCAGACTAAGGATAATAAATGATTTTTTTTCGAAATATTGGTTATTTTGATAGTAAAGGAGCTCTTTACATAGTAGATGCAGAGTAACTAATCTCAGAATGACATTTTACATTTCCTAGAGGCATTATAAGTTGGTACAATTCACCTTCCTTCACAACTTAGCAAAATAACCTTCCAAGATTGAAATAAAAACATATCTATGAGTTTTTGACCTGCAAGCCCACCTCCATAGGCCCACAGATGTTCTCATCAGAATACTGAAGTTTATGATAAATGTGCAGTATTTTAATGATGAAAAGATTTAATAAGCATTTCTGGCATTGTACATAGTTGAGACTTATAATCACAGAAACTAATTTCTAAAAAGCAAACTAACATTTTCTTCAAACACCAAAAGAAAATTTTCAACTCACCTTCACTACTGTAGCAAAATTATCATCCAAGATAATGATGTCAGAGCTTTCTTTTGCAACTTCTGTTCCTTGGATGCCCATGGAAAGGCCTATATCGGCCTAAATATTGAAATACAATGAAATTAACTAAACACAGAAAAATCACTAGACAATACAAAATTTAACATTGAATAATTGCAGCTAATAAAGCATTCAAAAAGAATAGTGAAATTAGGCACAAAAAGCTGCTATTCCAGACCATATACAGCACCTGAACTTTGGCAATATTCTTAAACCCTAAACATCAAGTCATGGGTACATTACTTACACAGGAGAATGATTTATATTTGAGGTCTATCATAATAGATTCTGAAGCAGATAAGACAGTGGTCCCATTGGAGATATGTAAGACCCCATAAATTTGAACCTTTGTACCAGATCTAATTCGGCTTAAAAATCTCAAAAATCCCACAAAAACTAGAATGTGGAGACCACCTGAGGATTTTAAAGACAGTAATTCAACGAACTAGGACGGTGTGGAAGCACGGTGAGCAAAGGGACAAAGGTCCGAAATGATTAAAGATTTTATAGTGCGACAATGACAAATAGAAATAATGCTTTTGTGTTCCAAAGGAGGCTACAGACTAGTACCATATCTTATGGACATGATAATAAGTATATGAAACGTCTCAGAAGTGATTTAAGGTCTAAGGAGAGCTCATAAAGTTGAAATTGGAAGCTACAGCACGAACTAAGTTTTCGAATGAGCTCGCACAAGGTCCAACTTCAAACAAACATATCTACCCCCTGGTAGACTTTTATGCAACAAACCGTTCATCAATGAGCTCTATACAAAAAGATATGTACATTTTACTGAAGTGCAAGCGAAATGGCTGGGCACCACATGGCCCGCATCGCACTAAGACAAAACTTCAGGAAGTCGATTCTTTTTCATCCATGCTGGCACCCCGCATCGTGGTAGGCTAAAAATATGCTTGTATCTTCTATTTTACGGTCTACAAAGTGAGAGAAAGAGGGGCATATGTTTGGACA